GGAGATTTAGATGAGATATTAGGAAGAAATTCTTGTCTGTGAGGGTGGTGAGCCCCTGGCGCAGGTGGCCCAGAGAAGCTGTGGCTGCCCCATCCCTGGAGGTGTTCAAGGCCAGGTTGTACAGAGCTTGGAGCAACCTGGGCTGGTGGGAGGTGTCCCTGCCCCGGGCAGGGGGGGTGGGACTAGATGGTCTTTACAGTCCCTTCCAACTCCAACCATTCTGTGCTTCTATGAAAATTCCAGTGAAGAGTATCCAGAGCACCAATCTGTTGGGAAACCCAGCTTTCCTCTGGTCTCACCCTGCCTGCGTCAGGGTGACTAAGCTGGCTCTCAGAAAGCAATTTCTTTTTCTTGGTTGAGGCAGGTGTTCCTCACCACACTGGAGAAGTCCTTTGGGATGTTTCCCATGACAAAGGAGGGTGCTCTGTGCTTCAGAGAGGCCCCTTGCGTCTCAGGATTGGTTTGGGCACTCCATGGGTATCTGCCAATAGCTGGGATCTCTCCACAGGACCTGGGGCTCCATGTCCCAGCTGACCATCAGCAGATGCCTCTTTGGCTATTCGCCACAAGGGTGTGAGGACCAGACCCCATAGCAAAAATGGCAAAAGAAAATCTGGGCTAAGCTATGCACATTTTCAACATCTGCGATTTAATCTCAGGTTCCAGGAACCACAGCAATGAGGAATTGCAATTATTTTGCACAGGGCAAACAAGAAGAATAAGCTTTTCCATCGTACTCCAAGACAGTATCAAATTAAGAGATGATAGTCTTTATATTGCGGGATCACATGTGCTTCTCAGTTTCTTGTCTTAAACAGAGAAGGACAAAAGGTGAGAAGGGAAAAAATACCCCTTGAAATAGGGCACAATCTCCAGCTGCAATGTTACCTACCACCTCCCTATGTAATCTGACAGAAAGAGAATAGAAATGCCCAAGTCTGCTCATTTCTGAGGTGCTTCCGCTCTGGACCCTCTTGGGTAAAAAAACCAAACCAAACAAGCCGAGGTGTCCTGGCTGGCACCAAACAGACTCTCTGTCCTAAAAGTCACAAGCAGCTTCACTGTCAGGAGCAGCCCCTGCCATCCAATGTGTCAATACTTCATTTTTAAGAGCTGTCTCCTTCAATTCCAGCTGGGTGTCTTCATTTCTGATGCCACTTCAAACCAAGCAGGTGAAATCCCTCATCTGAGGGTCAGACGGCAGTAGGTCTCGAATCCTCACAGCCCTGGTGATGCGGCACCTCAGCAGCTCTGTTCCACGTTAGCACCCTGCTGTCTGCTCCTCATGCCCATCCCATCCCATCCCCATCCCCATCCTTCCCCTCCCAGTAGCCACACATGAGTGACGAGTGTGGCATCTGGACCCAGGTCACCTCCGAGGGCCCAGCACGCATCCCCAGGGAGAGGCAGCAAGGCAGCCCCCCTCTGTCGGTGAGGACCGCAGTGAGGACCAGATGCCAGCACTGGGGAGCAGGACCAGAGAGGATGAAGAGGAGAAGAGAGAAATGTTTAATTAGAAGCAAACCTCCAAAGTGGTTGGGGGCAGGTGCATGCAATTTCTTTTTGCAGATGCAAACCATGAGCTACAAGGAGGAGCAGGAGATGTTGGAGAGTGTGGGGCTGGACCCAGATCCTTGCAGGGAGGCACTGGCTGCTATGGGTTCAGAAGGGGCCTGCAGTGAATTCTCTCACTGAGGGAGCCTGTGCCACCACCTGCAGCATCTCAGCAGGTTTTGCTCCTTTGTGGTTGTTCAGGGGCACAACAGGACTCTGACCTCCGCACCATTACGGATACAAAGAGCTCAGTCTCTGACACGGAAAATATTTGCTTGGGGTGACACTGGGAGAGTTTAGCTCATGTGCCTGCCCTGCCTTTAATGGAGAGGTGAGAAACAGTCTCAGCGAAGGGCTTTTGCGCTCACCTGCCTGGGAGGGAGTCCGTTCTCAGTACTCGGTTGTGCAGTTTACGTATATGACACTAATTTCCTGCCCTGGTGGCCTCTCCAGTGTCCTTCGGCATGTTGCTGGCTGCCAGACCAGGGTGACGATAGTGACTGTAATCAGTCCTTAATGTTATTTTTATTTTTGGCATCTGACTTCTTAGGGATTCTATCCAGGTACGTGTGTTGTGGTTCTGCTCCAGCTGCTGGTGGTGAGCTCCTCACTCACATTGCTCACACTGGTCCCCCCAGTAGCTGGTTTTGGGGCCACACACCCTCCCAGACGCAGTGGCTGGCGTTCAGGACCCCCACCTGCCCTGGCAGCTGCACTGAGACCCCACTGACTCCAGGAGCTGAGACCACAGCCCCAGGGCGCCTGTACCCCCCCACCTGATGCAGGACCTGCCACCAAATCCACTGGTGCTGGTTCCCCCCAGTAACTGGCACTTTTTCCTTGCAGCATTCACACCTGCACGATACAGAGAGATCATGCAAAAAGATAGCTAAGAAATGATTTAATAAGAAGGTAGGACAGATCGCGGTGACCAGGCACAGGGCTGGGTCAGACAAATGCTCTGACCAGCTCTGTTTTACTCACGACCAGTCCCTTTCATACCCCTTTCTGCCTGATCCTCCTCATTTTCTCCCCTGTCCCCTTCCCCTGCGTGTTCCTTCACCACTTCACAGTTCACACCGGCCCTTGCGAGCATCCTGCACCCACAGGTGCTTATGTCCAGCCCAGGGTACGGATTATTTTACAGGCACAAAACATACATGTGGGGGGTGGGGAGCTGCTAAAGCCGTGTCTCTTCTTCCAGGCGCACCGTCGCAGCTGGAGACCCTCAGGAGAAAGGAAAAGTAAGAGAGGAAGGAGAGATGGATCTGCCAGGACTACCTGGTAGGTACAGGGTGCTACTGGGAAGAAGTTCATTTGGGGAGGGTGAAGAAAGGTCAGTTCTTGGGAGTTGGGAGATTGAGTCATGTCCAGCTGTTGGTGCACGATGAGCACCCCAGGAATCGCAGTCATGCTCCAAACCAGAAAGTAAAAGCTGTGGATGATTTTAATTGCCGCCTCTCCCTTTCCGCAGTCCCACCCTCCCTTGAGAGGGTTGATTCTACTCGTAAAGGAAAAAGTGAAGGTGGAGAGGCAAAAGATTGTGCCTGAATTTAAACAGCTGCGACAGTACCTGGAGGAACAAGAGTGCCTGCTGCTGGCTCAGCTGGGAGAGCTGGAGAAGCAGGTGAAGACTGAAAGAAAATGCTGCTAAATTCTCTAAGCAGATTATTTACCGGGATGGCCTGATGAAGGAGAAGGTGTGCCAGCTGTCGAGACATGAGGCCCCACAGGTGAGGTCTGCTGAAACAGACCTTCTTGGGGGGAGATCAGAGAAGGGCAGGTCGGTGGGAATTGCCCCACCTGTGGACTTCAGACACTTCTCAATTTCTTACTTACCTTCCTTGCCTGTCCCTATAGCTTTTACTAGTGCTCTGCTGTAAGAAATGTGCTTGATGCACGTGTCAGTGAGAACTGAAAACAAGGCAAGGTTTTGGATGTATGGAGAAGATAAGCATTATCATGAGCTCCAGCATCCAGCTATGTTTGGGTTTTTTTTAACTTAATCATTAAGCTTAATTGGAAAAAGCCAGAGACGCTACTCCAGCACCTTTCAAGGAGTTTGAACCTGCTGTATTTTTCATGGCCTTGTACAGAGCAGCGCTGCAGTGCCGCAGCACTTGATGCCACCTCTTTGCCCTGGGGCCACTTGGCAGCGAGCTCCTCCATGCATCGAATCTCTGTGCTCCCCGTTGTCTCTGCGGTCCCAGCTGTGAGGTAGAGGCAATGAAGGAGGCTCTTTGGTGGCGTCCATCTAAAAGACTTGCCAGTCCTCCCACTTGGTGGCCAGAGGAACCATGCGAGAAGAAGACGCAGGACCCTCCAAGTTCCCAGCACCAAGACCCAAGACAATGGTGTTCGCCTTTCCAGTCTCCCCCCCTTGCCACCCACACTGCCTCTGTGTCAGGGGCACAGCCGGAGCCACGAGTCCATCCCCACCCAGAGCCATGGGCGTAGCCTCTCCCCAGGACATGAAGCCAAGCAGAAAGCAAAGATGGGGGCTTCGTTTTCAGCATCGGCAAATGCCACCTGCCTGTCTGTAAAGTCCAGGCAGACCTGGATGGCCCTGGGGAGGCAGGCAAGGTGCAGGGGGATCCAGTCAGGGTCGGTGAAAGCGTGGTATTGTCCAAACCACTGCCCCACAGCCCAGATTCCCTCCTGGGGGGTAAAACTGAGGACCCCCTTCCTCCTGACAGACTCCTGGGCCACCCCCACAGCCCACCAGTCTCCCCCGTTGGCCACCTCCACCTCCCAGCAGTGCCTCCCCGTGGCGAAGCCCTGGTTGCCCAGCACACACGGCTCCGTGTTGCACCGCTCGGGGTTGTCGGGCAGTGAGGTCCACTCGTCCCCCCGTCCCACGCCCCTCTGGTCACCAGTCAGGATGAGGAAGGGGTTGGCAGTGTCTGGGTCCAAGGTCACATCGGCTGGGGACAGAGGAGGAGAAGCTGCTGAGGACAGGCAGCCCCAAGAGTGTGTCGGGGCTGCATGCACTCCAGCAAGAGAAGGGACAGGGCGATTTCCTTTCCCCTGTTCAGAGATGTCCAGCGTGGGGTGGGAAACCCCCTTGTGCTGGACTGCCATAGTCTCAGTGCTGCCCTGATCCTGCCCCCGCTCCTGATCTGGGAGCTTTCATGTGATCCCTGGTCAAGGAGACACCAGTTTCCTGGACTGGATGGGTGCACATCTGCTTTGCAGACACCTGGACCTGAGCCTGGGTGTCTCTAGTGCTGCAAGGGTGAAACAGGCACGTCTGGGCACAAAGCAGTGTGATAGACATTACCCCAACACCACAAATTCCTGTTTTTCTTTCTGTGGGCAATGGAGGGAGCCAAGGGTGGCAGCTCAGGTGTGGTGGGTCTACAGCACAAGGAATCCAGCTGGGGGTGTTGCAGTCACCAAGTCTAAACCCCATGACAAGCCCAGGTGCGGACAAGCCCCAGGTGCTTTCACATCTGTGCTCTTCCACAGCAGAAGCACGATGCATTTTTCTCCTCAACAGAGGCCAGTTCATCTTCCCTTCTAAAATCTCACCTCTTCCACTCATCTCCTCCACCTCACTGGCCAGGGTCTCACTCTCTTCTCTCTTCATCCTGGATACCAGCATGTCTGCAGAAAATCAACAGGAGGGGAGGCAGGATTCCCTGTGGAAAGTGGAAATTGCAAGACTCGAAGGCTGCCTAAAGATGATAAAGCAGCAGAAGGAATAATGGAAAAGTCACAGCATTCAGACACTTTTTAGATGGCCAGCACTCACCTGCAGGCTTTTGCTAGGAAAGGAGGTTTTGGATGGGTCTTGAAGGTCTTTAGTCTGCTCTCCACTCCCACGACCTCCCCATCAGCTCATAGCTGGACTGGGCTTGCACAGCATGTCCAGCTTGTTCCAGTGAGCAGATCAAAGTCCAGAGGGGCTGGTTGGCCTGGAGAGCACAGCTGGGAGTCCACCACCTTTGCCTCTCTGGGGGTGATCACACCACTGAATCCTCCACCTCCCCTCTTCTTGGCAACTGCCTCCCATGCCCTGAAGCTGCCAGCAGGCATGGGGCTTCATCTAACACTTGAATTTGGGAGTTCCCTGCTGACGTTCCTGCAGTCCCCCTGTCCTGTTTGCATCACAGGGTCTGCTGCATTTCCCCTCCCTTTGGCCAGCTGCGTGTGGGTGATAAGGGCCTGGAAGAGGCTGTATCTTCCTGTGGCATGGTGCTCAGAGCCAACGGCACCATGTTGACCTCCAGCCCCAAGTGGGATGTTACTTGAGGACACCAGCCACAGACCAGTGGCCATGCTCTGGATGTCCAGGCTGCATACCATGATGAAGGAAGAGGTCTGTCTCCTTACAGGCACTGCTTGCCCAGATTTGTCATGCTGCCAATGGGTTGCAGGGTGGAGATGTTTGCAGGGCATGTGTTGCCTCAATGGCTCACCTGGTAAATGGGGACAGCACATGCTGGGCTTTGCATCCCACCTCTCTGTTCTCCAGGCAGCTTTTCATGTGCTCAGAGATGATGACCTCACCCCCACTCACAGGGAACTTGGGAGGTGGCACACACCTTTCACATCACTCTGAAAGCCACCAGTGGAGCACAAAATAAAGCAGAGTGCAAGGGGACCTGCTGCCAGATGGGTCTGCTGCCTGGCGCTGGGACAGGGGCCCGGGAAGGCAGGACTATTCACCGCTGTTGCATGGTGGCATAGGCATGGCATGATGGGGGCTCCTGCTG